CTTCATTCCACAAATATTTAATAAGTGTCTACCGCGTGTCTAGCTGCGTGAAAGAAACAAAAAAACAAAGACAGAAGTCCCTGCTCTGAAAGAACCTACCTGGACTGAAGAACTTACCGGTTGGTCATTCTAAAAGTGCACATATTTTTTAAATGAAATCTTTAAAAGAACAATGAAGAATGAAATGTTTCAGGGCGTTAAGAATGAGATCAGTGTTTCCTCCGCTTAGTTAAAACATATGTGATGAACCGACCGCCAGGGCAATGAAAGACTTGTCAACTTGTGCAAAAGAGATCCAAGAAGACCTGGAGGCCCAGCACGAACAAAGAGAGGCTGTTAGGGCTCATCAAGGTTGAAGGGAACACTGGAACCAATTTGCACAGGGTTGCAAACACGGATTTGCTGCGAGGAGTTGATCTAAATAAAATTCTTGGCTAGGCCTATCATCATGCTGCTAACAGGAGCAGAAAATTGAATGAATTTGCAGCAATGCTGATAAAAAGAGAGCAAAGCATTTCAGACGCACATGGTTACACCGAGGTCTGAGATTCAGTAGTAATAAGCTTTGATTTGTGAGGGAAGAAATGAAAGAACTCCAAAAAACTCTCAATATTATCAATTCACGCATCTGAGAAGGCTGATGATTTTTCAAAGCATTTCCAGGCAGCGTGCAGGAAGCTGTGCTGCTCCCTGGAAATGTCTGGGGGCTGTCCACTGTCGCATTTTCTGTTCACTGGGGTTTAATGTCCTCTCAAAGATTATAGACTTTAGGAAATCGATTCTTAAAAGATCAAGTGTCTGGTGAATTGAGGGTGGTACTGAGATTAATTTCCAAATCTGAGTTTATCTTTTGTCTGAAAAGTATCATGTGTTAAGTATTCCAGGAATTCTTTTAAAGAGCTACAAAACAAAATTATCTATAATCACTTCTTTTTTTTTTCTTTCTTTCTTCATTATTTATCATCTGAGTAAAGCAACAAACCTTTCAAATCTCTTTAGGACAGAGTAGAAGAATCATGCCAAAAAATAATCAGAGAAGGTTTCATAGTTAAGAAATCATCCTTTTAAATGAGTAGAAAAAAGTCCTGGAAAAAAAAGATCTCAGGAGTTTAGATAGTCCTTTGCTTTTTCTTTCAGAAAACAATGATGTTTATTACCAAGAATCAGATTCTAAGTTCCTAAATTTAAATCTATATTTTAAGAACGTGAGCACAAAAATAATTTTTTCGACATTTTGTATATGTATATACGTGTATATGTACATATAAGAATAAACCATGAAATGAAACAAGGGGCAAAACTTTTCAAGAATATAGATGTACGTACGATATGCATATGGTCCCATACCTTCATTTTCCTAAGAACAATGCAAAATTTAATTTCCCTTATGCTTGCATCAATGTAACCAATCCAGCTTATTCCACGTGGTCTTGATAACAATGCTGCTGACGTCTTGAGCCACTGCATTTTGCTCCAATTCTTCCAATTGCTAGAGCAAGAATGTTTTTTCTTGTTCCACAGCATCTTAAAACATACTGGGAAGTGCGCTAGCCCTTGATGGTTGTTAAGAACAACTTGGTAACCAAACTGATGGACTGGTAAAGAAGGAACTGGTGGTGTTTGGAGAAGTTGGCCATGCAAGACGAGAGGCAGGCAGTGATTTACTGACACAGTCCCACCTTCCAGAATTATCCACTCCAGTTGGTAGACTGTCATGGCCGACATCCAAATCTGAACTCTTCAGTTTTAAGGCACGCTACCCTGATAACAATTGGACACTGTTCCTAGGAGAGGGTGGTGACATAATATAAATAATCGTGTTGTTTTTATTAGCATATTCCTGCCTATTCAAAGATTTTTGAAAGCCATTGGAAAGCTGTTGCTCTAAAGTCGCCCCCAAACACCTCACTTGCTTAGTGAAATTCCCCTCATACGGAAATAGGCTGAAAATAAGATTGAGGAATCCGGGTCCCCCACAAACATCCTATCGGGCTCCACCTTGGCTGGGATTATTACAAAACCCCGTTTTATAGATGATGAAACTGGAGTTCGGGAAGGCTAAGTCACTCTATCCCTGGTTTCCCAAGTGCCCCTAAGGGAATGGCCTCAGTAGGCACTTTGTCACTCGATGCACAGGGATTTATGCAAAGGATTGTTTATTTTACACAAAAGCAATTGGCCCTCTGAGTGGGCCCACGGATGACTGATGTTTACAGGCCCTGGAGTTCCTGGGAACCCAGGGTGACTCCAGGCCAGAGGGAGCTAATCCCAGCTCCTCCCAAACCCCGACACCTGCCTGTCTCCTCCTCCCCGCCCGACTCTTGCCCCACCGCCCTTCAGCCATAATGGGTACCTCACAACCCCTTCAACAGTCTTCGTTCCCTATTACCAGCAGAACTTTCTGGTTCCCTTCCTTCTCCCAACCTCTCATCAGCCCGGGTGGCCACCACTCGTGCTTCAGGCCTTGCTCCACAGAGTCTCATTTCTTCCAGGAGGTTCTCCCTGCCCCCCTCTCCATCAGCTGGATTGAGGAGCCCTTCCTTCTGCCCTCTTAGCATCCTGTGCTGCCTCTAGGCATCCCACGCTGAATAAGCAGTTGATTTGAACTAGCATAGTGTTTAAAGGCCTGGGCTCTGGGGCCAGTCAGCCTGGGTTTAAATCTTGGCTCTGCTTCTTACTAGCTCTGTGACCCTGAGCAAGTTGCTTAATCTCTCTGTGCCCCATCTCTCCCTCTATAAAATAAGAATAATAGCATAACCAGCCTGCTGTGAAGATTCCAAGAGTTAATACATGCAAGGCACTTAAAACAACACTAGCACATAGCAAGTGTTCGTTATTTATGTATTCAACTGTTTTCTAGCCCATCCCTTCACTAGACTGAGTTCTTGATTGTAGAAATCATCTCTTCATTATCTCTTAGCACAGCCTCTGACACATAGTAGGTACTCAGTAAATATTTGTGAAATGAATGAATGAGCAATAGAGGCCGCAGCCTCTGCTGAACCCTCTGCCTGCAGTTAGCTTTCTCTAGTGCCCACCATGGTTTCCATTGGCTCAGGGCCCACATGGCTGAGCTGATTTGCTCAAAAGAGATGTAGCGAGGCAGAGAAGACTTGCCAGTGCTCTTCCCAGCTATCCCTCCAGACAGAGCTGCTCATCCCATTGGAGTTGTGCAAGTCTAGGCAATGCAGCTTTGCAATGACCACTCCTTGTCTGACTAGGGTGTTGACTTGTTTTCATGGAACTGAACCTCCCCCCATTGGAAGGTCCCAGGGGTTCAGACTTAGGCAACAGCCTCACTGGCTGCTCTCTGGGCAGGTAAACATCCCCTCACTATTGCCCTGGCTATGCCCCAGGACCTGGAGCTCGCTGCTCCTGCTTTCCACCTGCTATGGGCCAGCTTTGCCTTTATCTCAAAGCTCAGAAGCCACCCCCTCCAGAGCTTTTCCAGACTACTCCCAAGTGGAAATCATTTCTCACCACTTTAACGCCCATCATTCTTTACACTTGTTTCTTCACCTCTTGGAGTCTGTTCTATTATCTGTGAAGTAGATAACAATGCCTATTTCAAAGGGAGGTTGTGAAGATTGAGTGACTCAAGCAAATGCTTCACAGCATAAGCATTTGCTTATTTACTACCTTGGAAGTTTCTGGAAGCCAGGGATCCTCTGTTTCATGACTACATGCCCCTTGTCCTTAGCATAGCACCTCACTCATCTTAGGCATTTAATAAATGTTTCCTCAATAGATCAATCAATAAAAAAACCAATCAGGAAATAAATGATAGCAACATAGCAATATCCTACAGTTGTAATGCAGAAAGGAATCGTCTTTGTGGGATTCTCTTCCTTTTTCCCTTTTTTTTTAAATTGTTTTCAAATTAGAAATGGCCAAACCAAATCAACTATCTCTTTCCTGGGAGATGACTTCTCAGTGCACGGTGTATTCAAAATGTCATTAATTAGAGAACTTGGACTTGGGAGTAAAAACACACACGTACGTGTTCACATCCTGGGAATGATTTTCAGAAAGGAGTGGGTGCTCATAATTCTCCCCCACATGTAATGTGGGCATTTGCTACAATCAGCCACCTCTTTCATCTTCTTATGCCATCTCGGGGCTTTCCCTCCATGACATTCATCTGTCACTACCTGTACCCAATGTTGCCAAACTGATTGACACCTACTCTTCTTGACAAACAAAATTTCCTCGGCTCACAGAACTCACTAGAAACCAAAGTGGAAAGCCTAGAGAATTTTTTCTTAGGGGACAGGAAAGCAAGGATCACTGTGTGATTTCTTAGAAGCCCTGGGCACAGGGAACCAGGAGGAAATGCCTTCCTTTGAGACTCTGTCCTGCTGTCTCTCACTGATATTCAGAGAAGCCTGTCACTTTCACTGTGTACAAGTCACCACCCTTCGTTCCCTTGCCCATGCTCTGAGCCCTGGAGGGAAAGCCCAGATTCCCTACAAGGTGGTGCCAGCCAGAAATTGCCCCATCCTCCTTATCAGACATACTTGCCTGCCCGACCCAGATCTGTCTCTTGTACAGTCACAGGAGAGGCTGAGCTCAGGCAGGACGACGTGCTCAGGTGAAGCAAACTAACTGGCCTGAAAGCTGACGGTGAGCCAAGACCAGGCCACCCAGGAAAACCCAGAGCAGGTCAGTTTGGCAGCAGGATGCTAAGAGGATGACATGGGAGGCCTAGGCTGCCCCGGGCGGTGCCCCAGTGCACAGAAAGAATCTATGGCCAGCTCCAGGCAGGGACCTCAGCATCTATTTCTTTTCCTCCCACCTCTGACTCTCATCCTGCAGCACTTGCTACAGTGGGCTGGCTGCTCAGACTGGCAGGTAGATACACACAGTGCCTAATGTACCCATCTAAGACAGCAGTGAGGGGAAGATGCACCATTGCTTTATGCAGCTCTAAGAAAGAAAAAAAATGCTACCTATCAAATTATGACACAGAGGATCCTTATTATTTACAATGTGTACTTTATACTTACAGAGAGCTTTTTAAGATTTATTTAGAATAGGCTTTTACTATAGATCAGTCTCATGCATACATGAAAAGGAAAATGTCAGTGAAGCAAATTGCTTAAGGTAATCCTAAAACTTGGTCACATTCAGAATCCACACCCTCTGAATCACTTTCCAGCTCACAGTTGTCTACGTCCATGCCTTTCCCCACACGTCATCTTCTGTGCCTCCTGGAGCACAGGGATGTTCACAGGAATGAGACAACACTTCTTCAGAGAGTGCCCCACTGTTGCCTCTGGGGTGTTGTTCCAAGCTGTTGACATCATTCTGCAAAATTTGAAGCGCAGGCAATGAAAACTGGATCGTGAATGCTTCTGTCCCAAAAGCGACAGATGGATGCATCCCATTTTTCCGAGATGATGGAAAGAAAGAATGTGCATTTAAATTGATGAAATATGAAACAATAATGACAGCTAACGGGTATGGAACATCCCAGGAACTGTGCTAAGCATGCACCTTACATGTATTATCTCATTCCATCTTCTCTCTGATAGGTAATAATACGAGCTACCCTTACATAGTGCTTACTATGTGCCTGACGCTGTTTAAGTGCCATACATATATTCACTCATTCAACCCTCCCAGCAGCCCTATGAGGTGAATACTATTATTTTCTCTATTTTGAAGATGAAGATGATGAGAATAATTACTCGCACAAGATTACACTGCTTGGAAGTGGTAAAACTGGGATTTGAATTCTGAAGTCCACTTCTAGAGTCTACATTTAACCACTCCACTATATGAGGTTCCATTAATGTGCCCATCACACAGATAAGTGAACTGAGGCTTCAAAGAGGTAAATACCCTGCCTAAGGATACACAGTGCAAGGGCCAAGGTTCAAATCCACAGAATCAGACTCTAAAGCCCTTGCTGCTCACCATTTTTCTATCTTGTGCAGGGAAGACAAAAGGGTGAAGGGCAAATCCAGCTGTTTAGATTTCATCTTGTAATTCAGAACCCCACGGGGCATCACTTTGATAAAATTTAACTTGCTTTCTTTTCTCTCAAAGATGCGGGTAGCACAATTGTCTTGTAGTGGCCTGAAGAAGGCCTCATTCATCTGTTTGTTGATTTTCTGAATAACTCTATTTAAAATGTCCATTTGGGCCAAGTCCCTGCGCTAAGTGCTCCAGGAGCTTACAATGTAGTATTCCTGCTACTACAGGACTTTGTGCAAGTGATGGCAGATGTGGCCAAGAGAGAGGACATGCTATTGTCAGCTGGAACGGACTGGAACCTCTTGTGCCACTGATGCGGATGGTCTACGGAAAGTGGGGGAAAGATGGCAGCCAAACCACTTGTTGGGCAGTCAAAGAATCTGAAAGAACGGTCATGGTTAATTAACTCAAAATTGACATATTTGCCTTCTCATTATGGAACTCCTTCCATCCCCTAAATCTTGAGTAAAGTTTGCCACACACGCAAAGGCCTTGGATAACGACTTCTGATGCGAATTGGGAAAGGAAGTTGAGTTCCCCATGTGTGTGTGGATGGGGGAACAGGAAAGCATAGAAGAGAAGAACCAAACTTAATTTGGGGGTTCAGGGAAGCCTGCTATATTACCACAAACACTGGCCCGCTGACCCCTGTTTGTGGCAGTTCTGAGCTCCCGGAAGGCAGACAATTTGTCTGTCTTGTTCCCTGTTGTTAACCCAGAGCCTTGAAGGATGCAGACACAGAACAGGTTCTCAGTAAATATTTTTTGATTGAATGACTAGACGAAAGACTTCAGGAGCCCTTCAAAGTCTCTGCCGGATGAGTTTCCCCCTTAACATTCCCTGATGGACCCTCAAGGACCAGCACATAGTAAGTGCTCAATAAAGAATCCTTGATTGACAAGGACATTTCTCCACAGTTTAAATAATCTCTTTGTACCATCTTCCAGAGAAATTACTAGATCAAAGAGAGTGGAGACAGGTAAGGCCCTGGATATGTAGTACCTAGTACCAAACCCTTTTTCAAAAGGAGTACAGAGCTTGTTCTGCTCAGAATTGTAGGAGAGTGCCTAGAACAACGTCTAACCCTCTTGTGAATACCTCCTCCACCTGCCCTTCACAAAGAGAAGGCAGCTCAGCCCCAGCTGACCTTGAGCTTTCCCTGGGTCACTGCACCTTCTCACCCGGGCCTCTGCAAGAGCCTCCAGGCTCAACTCCCCGCGCCCACTTCTGACTCCCTCGACTGCGTCCTTTCTTAGCAGCCACAATGCTCTTTGCAAAGAGCAAAATCTGAACCTATGTTTGCCCCATTTACGATTCTTCAATGGTGATTTTTTTTTCTCTCCCAAACCTCTCCTATCACTGGGCCTGGAAGTGGGTTAAGTGTCCTCCTGACTTCTTTGTTGGCCCTTCCAGTCCATTCTTCCTTCCTCCTCCCTAACCTACTCTCCATCTCACACCCTGCTTTAAATATTGCCCAGGTCTGTCTCACTCCCAAACCTGCAGGCTGTAACCAACATGAATAAACATTCTGTGCCCCCATAAATTAAATCATAGTAATGACTTATTGGATCTATTTTTATTGGACTGCCACAGGCACAGGACTTCCAGAATTCAGATGCCATAGATATTTCTCAGGCATGTACCATGTGCTAGGCATCAACTGGACTAGTCCCTTTCACATATTGTGGCATCTAATTCTCACCACAAGCCTACAAGGCTGATAAAGACACAGAGGCTCAAAGGAGTGACATATAAAGAAGAAATGGCCCCAATGAAAGTGAATGACTGAGAGGAGCTTTTGACCCAACTCTCCAGACTCCTAGTGCTGTTTGTTAAGTAAGCGTTTATGGAACCCCTGTACGTAAGGAGTATCATACTGTGGATTCAGGGGAAAAGGCAGCTTTAGTGTTTCCCTTTGACCTTACAGCATTGATGCTGGGAAGGTCACCCAGGGGTCTAATCTACATTTCTTTTGCTGCAACTCAGTCCCATTCCTACCCCTTACCTCAACCCCACTCCCAGATAGGTACAAAAACAGCGGTTGCTGATGAGCCCACCAAGCTTCTCCTCCTCTTGTGGCTTCTCTCTTCAGTTGCTGCACAGACCTGAGACAAGCATCACAGAACAGGCTTCCTGTCTCCCTGGGCCTTGCCTCCGCTCTGCCAGTCACTCTTCAGCCCCTGACCAGAGTCCAGGAAGACCAATAGCTTCAGGAGAGTCTTCTCTGAGGGGAAGGAAGGAAAGATAGAAAGCTGAAAGCTGGCAGCTTCTCCCAGCCAATCACTCCTTAGGAGGAAGCAACAGGTGACATTTTGTGGGAAGATTGTGACCCCACCTGAAAGGCTCCCCAGATTGGGAAATAGTACTGGCAGGCTCCAGTACTTTCCATGGCCCTCACAGATCCCTGGAGCCCCCATCACATAGAACCTCAGAGGATTCTTCTTCACTGGCTTATCAAAGAAGATAAGGACGGCAATGGCCTTCCTATGGGACTAATACACGACTGTGTCTGGGTCCCCTGGAACACAGAACAGGCCTAATAAATATCTGACTAAATGTTTGACAAATTGAATGAATATGAGAGAGAGTGAGTGAGTGAGCAAATGAATTAGCATATGATTAAATGGAACAACGAAGAGAGTAAGGGAACAACAGACTGAATCAGAATAAACAAACAAATGAGTGAATAAAAGAATAAACTTCAAAGTGATTGAATGAGTCAAAGCAAGGAAAGAATAGTAAAGTGATCAAATGAGTACGTGATTGAGTGTGTGAAAAAAATTAATTCATAAATGGGTGTGTCAATTGAATGAGTATGTGGATGATGCTTAGATGGATGAGTCAATGAGTGAGTGACGAATAAATTCACAACTTCTTAGAGGAAGACTGGGGAGCTAAATTACAGACTCTATGAGGCCAATAACCATGTCTGTTTCTGTTTTTGCACTATCCCCATCCCCTTACATAGTAAAGATTCAAATAGACGTTTGTTGGATGGATCATTAGAAATCCTCCTGCTTGCAATATAGGATACCAAACTCTGCGCTTGATGGAGACCTTCGAATATCTAGGTTCTTCATGTGAAAAGAACTTTGACTCTTGAGTTAGATGGGCCTGGTCTTAAATCCCAGCCCTGCCATTTCTTAAGCTGTGTGGTCCATCAACAGGCACTCAAACTCCTCTATAAATTGGGGACAATCTACCTACTTCAGAATGCTAGAGTAGAGATTAAAGATGAATATGTGTAGAAACACCCAAACAGCATCTAGCACATAGAAGATGCTCAATGAATGAACATTTCTTTTCTTTCTCTCCCCAAGTGCATCTTCTTCCTTCTATCCATCCAAAGCCCACCAGCTCCAGTGCCCTTTGAGGCCCTGCCCTCTGGGAGCTCACAGCCTTTTAGGAGACAGAGACAAGTTGAAGGAACTCTGCTAGGAAGTGGCATGATGAATCTTAGGCTAAACTATATGAAATTGCAATATCTCAGCTGTTTATTACCTAAAATGCCAACAACTTCACGTTTCAATTATAGCGGCCAGAAATATGTGGGAACAAGAAGAAAGGGGCAAAGGATTCATCCTAGGGAAGGTTGAATAAGCCTGGAAAACACTGGTGGGATTTGGATGTTACACCATCAGTTGAAGAACTTGGTGACAAGCAAATGAAATTCACTCTATTTTAGGCAGAAAAGGTATTTCTTGGAAGGATACTGGGAAGCTCAGTGAATTGCTTGGAAGGCTGAAGACCCTAGCTCAGAAGAACATGACATGGCAGGTCACGTGGCCAGAGTCAGAGCCAAAATTATGCCGCAGAATTAAACCATTGCCTAGACACCTGTCTGGCACTGAAGATACCAGTAGCCTGGACTCCAATGGCCACCAGTGGCACCACTGCTCCTGTTGCCGTGGAAGGGTGGATGTTGAAGCCACCAATACCACCAAAGAGCTTTCTTCATCTCCCTGCTTCTTTGTGTCACTAGCTCCAAATTCACAGCCCAGGGGAGACTTATCTAATGATCAAGCGTGAGTGAAGGGTCAGCAAAGGAGTCTGGGCACGTGAGAAGCTGGGCTTTTCAGCTTCCATAGAAAAAGAGGGGTTCTGCCTTCTGCTAAGCTTCCTGAGAAATGAAAATTCTCCAAACATAGCAAGGGCATTCAGAAGCTGAGAAACTCCAAAACTGCATATAGTGGGCAAAATTTTGCAGTAGAGGAGCGAAAAGCAGCAGGTTTCAGTTGAGAGGACAGCAAAGTACATTCAAGGAGCAGAGATGCAACTGACATGTACAACGCCCAATAGGATGTGGCAACAACGGATACCAAAATGGTGCTGGGGCTGATGGGTAGATCCTTAAATGTCTTCTAAGGCATTGGGGCTTAATCAAGGGGGCAAGAAGAGTATTTGGGCAGTGTTTGGGGAAAGCGACATGATCATACAGTATCTGCTAAGATAATCTGGGGGGCAAGTGGAAGGATGGAATGGAGAACTAGAAGACTCTAGAAAAAGAGACATGAGTCAAGAGGCTGCGGGCTTGGCTCAGACACTGACTATAGGGATGGAGGAGAGCAATCTCACACATTAAAGGCTTAGAGAAGAGTTGTCTACACCAAAAGATCCTGGACCCTGGACAAAGGGTGGAGGGTTGATATATGGTCTGTAACTGAAGGGTTTCTTCTGATCTGAGTGTCAGGCTTGGGGTCAAGGATTCTCCAACCAAGGCTGGAGGTGTGAAAACCAGGGAGCAATGAGGAAGAAAGGAAACTCTGACTTGGTAAATGGGAGAGCCATTAGGACAATTTTCCCATTGCAAACAGCTAATGCAAGGTAAGTGGCAAAGATTTTCAAAGCTGAATCCTGTCTGTTCCTTTTCTTTTCAAGTATATCAAAAGAAAAAAGAAAGAGTTGCTTGCTTCCGTATTTGTTTCTTATTGCTACCGCAACAAATTAGCACGAATTTAGCAGCTTGCAACAATGCAGTTCTGGAGGTCAGAAGTCCAAAATCAAGGAATCTGCAGGGGTGTGTTAATTCTGGAGTCTCCAGGGGAAAACCCTTCCCTTTCCTTCAAGGCCGCCTACATTTCTTGGCTTAGGGACCCTACCTTGATCCTCAATGCCAGCCATCACATCACTCCGACCTCTGCTTCTGTCACCACATCTCCTTCCCTGAGGCTGACACTCCTGCCCCCTCTCTTATAAAGACTCATGTTATTAACTGGGCCCACCTGGATAATCCAGGCTAATCTTCCCATCTCAAGACCCTTGACTGTTGCCGTGGAAGGTAACATATTCTCAGTTTTCCGGGATTAGGACATGGACATCTTGGGGGAGGGGAGCATTTTTCTACCTACCACAGCTTCCAAAATTATCAATATCTCCCTCAGTTAATGGAAATGAAAAGGAAAGAAGGAGATAAAGTTGAGAACTGATCCACAATTCAAATAGCTGCCTATGAGGAAAGCTAACCAACATGCATGGAGTTCCTACCACATGCCTCGCATTTTACATTTCTTACCTTACGGAATTAACATCTCCAAGTCTGGGCCTTGGAGAAGATCTGCATAACTGCGAGAAGCCAAGAGCCATCTCCAATATTTCTAAGGACTCCTGGGATCACAAATGCTATCATGCGGGGTACCATTCCTGAGATGATGGGTCTGCTAACATCCACCTCTTCCGGATTATTTTTCTTGTTCACCTTTTGCTGTTGTCTTCATATTGGCATTGTTTTGCTTCAGTAGACGCAGTGGAAACCAAAATACTATTGACATAAAACTGCTATGTCTGCAGAAAAACAAACTTTTAAAATGATTTAGGTTTGAAGGAAGAGACTTACAGGCACGACAAGAAATAATTTCCACGATGAAGAGCAGACATCACATTTGCTAAAGTTTGTCAGCTCTCCCCACACAGGGGGCCCCTCCCTAGCAGCCATCTCCTGCCTCAGACTCCAGCTCAGCTGCCTCGCTGCCCCCTCTCACAAGTGGGCTTTGCAGGATGGGATTCTCTAGGGCAAAGTTAGTTCATGAGTCACTCTGTGGGAGGTAAGGCCTGAGGGACACCAGGATTAGCTGAGGATCCCCAAAAGGACAGTGATGGTTGCTGGGAGCAGCTGGGGTACAGGGAGGGTGGAGCTTCAGATAGAACACTGCCCATCTCTATGGTGACTTTATGCAAAGCAGAAAAAAGCACACCCTCTTGTCTGATGTAATAATATAAGTTGCCCTTTCCTCCTGGTGGATGCAGACTTGTACCAGGGAGTACACAGTCCTCACTCGCCTCCTTGGTCAGGCATCTTTGTGCAGTGTTCAGGCTGCACCACCGGATGCAGGATCCCTGGAGATAGCAAGAGCAATCAGGGAGAGGAGAGGAAACATTAACCTCACAGTCTGACTGTTCAGACCCGGTCTGGGCCCTGTCCCACACCACATCTTTCCTTTGGAATCAGACAGAGCGAGAAACAAATTCAAGCTCCATCATCATCTATGAGTAATCCTGGTCAACTCTTGTATGCCCCTTGAGCCTCAGTTTCCTCATCCGTGAGGAGATGCTCATGCCTTGTGATGCTCAGACCTCATAATGATGTAAGGATTAAATCCTTTCTCCATCGATGAGGACAGCCAACATCTTGATTGCACCTTGTGGGAGAACTTGAGCCGGAGGACCCCCAAATGGCACCTAGATTCCTCACCCACAAAGTGGTGAGATAATAAATGTTTGTAATTTTAAAACACTAAATTTGGGGGTAATTCGTTATGCAGCAATAGTTACCTAAGACATTCCTGTTTTACACACGGGGAAGGAGAGTGGAAACTCAGCCTCACTGTAATTTACACCTTTGATGGATGGAGGTTTAACTGAGAAATACTATATAGGATAACATCCCAACTCCATTTTTCTAAGCCTCATGTTTGACAGAGTAGGATCCTCTCATTGCCTGTGGTATCATAGAAAGATAGATTTGATCTTTGTCCCTGGTTCCTGGTACTGAGCTCCTAAAGCCCTTGGAACTTCTTGAGAGATAGGGTGATAGGAGCCTCTTTTGTTCCAACGAGATCACTCTTGGTGGGCCCCTGGATAGCTTCAGGATGGGGACTTGTCTCTTGAAAGACCAAACCTTGATTAGAAGCTTGGAACTTTCAGCTCTACCCTCCAACCTTGGGGCTGGAGATTGAGTTAATCACCAATGCCCAATGATTTAATCAATTGTGCCTACCTAGTAAAACCTCCATGAAAACGCCTAATGGTGGGTTCCGAGAGCTTCTGAATTGGCAAACACATCTATACGCCAAGAAGGCAACACAACCCAACTCTACAGGGACAGAAGCTCCTGCGCTCAGGACCCTTCCAGACCTTGCTTTATGTACCTCTTCATCTGGCTGTTCATTTGTATCCTTTATAATAGACCAGTAAAAGTAAGGAAAGTGGGGGCTGGCCCGGTGGCATAGTGGTTAAGTTTGCATGCTCTGCTTGGGCAGCCTGGGATTCCTGGGTTTGGATCCCAGGCACAGACCTAGACACCACTCATCAAGCCATGCTGTGGCAGCATCCCATATACAAAATAGACGAAGATTGGCACAGATGTTAGTGCAGGGCCAATCTTCCTCACCAAAAAAAAAGTAGCTAAAGTGTGTTCTGGGGTTTTGTAAGCCATTTTAGCAAATGATCAAACCTGAAAAGGAGGAGTTATGGGAACCCCCTGACTTTGTAACCATAAGTGTGGGTAACCTAGGGACCCTATAGTTGTGACTAGCCTCTGGAGTGAGGGCAGACTTGTGAGACTGAGCCCGTAAACCTGTGGGGTCTGCACTAACTCTAGGTAGTTGGTGTCAGAACTGAACTGAATTGTAGGACACCCAGTTATTGTCCGAGAGTTTGAGAATCAGTTGGCTGAGAAAAAAAGCCCACACAATTGGTGTCAGGAGGATTGTGGATAAAAACAGCTCACTGTCCTGACTGAGATGCTGGCCTCAGGGCCCAGTGGGGAATCCACTACCTCAAAGGCCTAAGAAAAATGGTGCCTAGAATTGACAAACTCTAAAGCCCGTGGGGAAGGTGGGAAATAATCCCTTATTACCCGAGCTGGCAGACAACCAGCTCAGACCTTCGGGAAACTTCCATGAGACATCTCCAGAATTTGGCTTTGGGGCCTCCCACGGCCATAGGGGTCCGAGATCATCCCCTACATATTCCCCAGAGCATCTTCCAGAGATGAGGAGAAAGAAGAGGGCCAGCCACAGAGTTAGAATCCATTCTCCCCTTTATTTGAGCTCCACTTTACACCTTTACATGAAGTACTTCATTGGATCCTCACAACCCTAAAAGAGTTGGCATCCTTGCCCTACTTGGGTTTCTGAGGCTCACAGAGGTCATGCTGGTTACTCAAGATCATGCAGTCAGAGGCAGTGCCAGAACTAGAAAGTGGGTCTCCTGACCCCGGTGGCCCAGTGTTTTCATGGCACCAACTATGCTTCCACTCCCAGGAGCCAAGAAGCAGAGGGAGCGAGAGACGGTGAAAGAGAGAACGCCAGGGAAAGGACAATATATGAAGATGAACAGTGCGACTTAAGACTCTTGATATGCCTGAGGACAGAAATCTTTTGAGGCAGTAAGATTGTGTTGTCCTACTCAAACCATGGGATCTAACACACACCCTCCTTGCCCTGTGCTTAAGAATGTCCCTGCCCCTTTGGAAATCAGTCAAATTGCGGGTTTCCCTCCCCCGAACCCGGGTGGGGGGAGGGGTGATGGCATCCGCTCAAAGTATCATGGAGTCTTAGTGTAAGAGAGCACTGTCACCAGGGGCTGGGGGAAGGGAGAACGGGCTGTTATTGTAAAATGGGTACAGAGTTTCAGTTTGGGACGATGAAGAAGTTCTGGAGATGGATGGTGGTGATGGTTGCACAGTAATGCGAAGGCACTTAATGCTACTCAACTGTACATTTAAAAATGGTTAGAATAGTAAATTTTATGTTGTGTATATTTTATACAATAAAAAAAAAAAAACACAGAGAGAGAGAGTACTCCTCCCCCCCCAAAAAAATACCTCCTGCAAGTTTCCTCTTGGTTGAGTGGGAGGACTCAGAAAAGATGCTATGTCCTCTGTGGAGTGGAGTTTTTGGGAATCCTTCTCAGACCTAGAGAACCCAGATGCCACCACATCTTTGTCCCGGCATAACTGGCCCAAGTTGCTGCCATTTGGGTCCTCCCTGAAGGAGTTCCCAGCTCTGCAGTAAAGGAAAAACAGGCAAACAGCTTCACCAAGCAGGCACTGGGCCAGAATTTCCAAGATGGCAGCTCAGGGAATGTCAGAGCTGGGATGACTCTTAAAGGTCTTCTGGTCCAAGTCCCCCATTTTATGGATAGAGGAACTGAGTCCCAAAGAAGAGAGGCACTGGCCCACAGAGCTCATCAATCAGAGCAGAGTCAGAAGCCACGCAAGTTTTTGGATCAGGGACATGAGTTCAAAGCCAGCTCTGTCACTGGAGTGCTGTGTGATTGCTGAACTGGCCTCACCTCTCTGAGCTTCATCTTGTTCATCAGTAACAGGAGGGCAGGGAGAACACTATCACACTCTTCAAGGTCTTAGGGAGGTAACAAGGAGGCTGAGGGTCTCAAGTGCCATGCAAAGGGCCTGGTCCCTGGTAAGTGCCCACTCCCCACCCTATTCCTCTAAAACCTTTTGTCTGGACTCTCAGACACTGCTTCCCCTACAACCTTACTCTGTTGTCATTGCCAACAGAGCGAGAAGGTGCGAGGCAGATTGACCTGGGTGTCACCACACAGCGGGGACAGAATCATCAACTGAGCAGGCCCTCAGAGGAAAGGATGCCCGGCACTGGGATCCACAGGCAGCTTCCATTCCATTGGAGCCAACCAGAGGATAGCTCATTTCCCGCCTCAGCATTCCCACCCTTCCAGGCTCCTCCCTTTACGGTGTTCCCTCCACCAAGGGGCTGGGATGTCAATGCTCACAATAAAAGGAAGATGGGTCTGGGGCAGAGTGCCAGGCCACCTTCTCAGTCCTTTACAAGCGCCATTCATTCAATCCTCGCCCCAGCTGGGTCAGTGAGGGTAATGATAGCTCCATGGTAACTGAGACACCGAGACAGAGAGGTTGAGGAGAGGTTGAGGAGCCTGACTGAACTCACAAAGCCAGGAAACAGTTGAGCCACAATGTCCACCCAGAGACCCTAGGAAGAGGGGAACAAAGCTGGCTTTAGGGTCCTCACAGAACTGCCTTTGGATCCCCGCTCTCTACCTGGGCCAAATGATCTTGGATATGTTACTTCAACTCTTCAACTCGATTTCTTCAAGTGTAAAGGTGACGTCAGCAACATGGGCCCCGCCTGGCCGGTGCAAGACTCCTCAAGGAATTATGCGAAAGCACCTGGCCCCTGGCAGACAGACTCAGGAAATGACCATTTCTCTTCCCTTCCCTGAGGGGTCACCCACCTCCCAGCCAGCAGCCCAGCTCATGCCCATGTTTGTCAACACCACATCCGGGCCTGAGTGGTGTTGTCACCCTACATTACACCACCACACCTCTCCAGTGACATAACCCCCCTCCGTCTCCCTCCCCACCCACCCGCGCTGGCGGAACCCAGGCTCTGCTGACACATCCTCGCTGAAATTCAAGACCAGATGCCGTGTGTTTGTTGGAGGGCAAAGCCAAGCCCAGCCCCCTTTTCTCTTTGCTCTCTCTCTCTGTCTCCTGGCCTCGGAGGCCTGAAGAGGCTGCCAGGAGCCGGGAGGTGGGAGTGGGCACCCACAGCAGCAGAGCCAGGCCCAGCCCATCCGGCACGTCCCGTCGGTTCCTGAGGCTGGATGGCATGAGCCACAGACGCGGTAATGTGGCAGCGTGAGGAAACGCGCCTGCCTGTTGAAACCTATTTCTCAATGATGAGAGCCAACGGGGGCTGGGCAAGGAGAGAGAGAGAGAGAGGAGAGAGATGCCTGAGTTCCCAGGACTAAGTCTCCACTCTCTCACCCATTCAAAAATATTTTTTGAGCACTAACTATGTGCTGGGTCATTAGCTGGAGACACTGTCATGAGTAAGGCCAGATCAGAGTTTCCAGCTTCACAGAGCTGTACATTCTAGCAGATGACGCAGACAATAACCAAGTGAACTC